GGCCATCCCGCCGTGCCCAGCCGCCAGCGAGGGCGGGGCCGTGCACGACGAGGGCGCCGGTGCCCGATGCCCCCGCGTGGCAGGCGGGGCGGACGCGAGCCCCCGGTGCAGTGCAGGTGGCGGCCCGCCAGCGCTGCCCACCGCTGCCGCCGCTGCCGTTAGGCCCCCCGACCCTGGCCGAGCTGCCCCACCTGGACGGGCGGTCGGTGGCGCCTGCGACCTACAAGGACTACCGCCGCCGGGCCTCGACCATCCTCAACTGAGCGACGTCGGTCCTCCTGGGCTGGGACAGCTGCGAGCAGCAGGACGTCTGCCTGGTGCTCTTCCTGGTCGACAAGCTGTTCTTCAGGGGCCTTGCGGGCGACGACGCCAGCAGGCCGGTCGCGGCCGCGAAGTCCTGCTACCCAGGCCTGGGCCACAGGGGAGCAGGCGCACTCCCGCGGCCCTTGGCGGGCGCAGGCGGGCTTGGGCAAGGTCGTGCTCGGGGAGACCCGCATGCCAGTGCCGTGGGCTTTGCTGGCGGCGATCGCGGGGTCTTCATCCACCGCGGCTTGGTGGGGCATGCGGTGGCGGCCCTGCTCTCATTCGTGGCGTACCTTCGGCCAGGCGAGTGCGACTCGCTCGCGTCGCTCGAGCTGGTCGCCCCCTGTCGAGGCGGCCTGAGGGGCCGCGGACTTCTGGGGCCTGCTGATGACGCCAGTAGAGATGGGCGCCCCCAGCAATACGAAACTTGGGACGACGCGGCGCCGTGGACTCGCTGACGCCCCTGCGCCCCTGCCTCCGGGTCTTGTAGGCGCGCGCCCGGGCGCCGACGGACCGCGTTTGGCAGTTCCCTTGGGGCGATCTGTCAGCCCGCCTGGCGGAGGCGGCGGCAGACTTCCAGCTGGTGGACCTGGGGAGCACGGCGCGCGGACTCCGAAGCGGGGGAGCGCCCCGCGACTTCCTTCACCGCTTTCGGACGCCGGTGGAGGTGAAGCTCCAAGGGCGGTGGGCTTCGGACACGACGCTGATGCGCTACGCCAAGCAGACGCGGGTGATCTCGGAGCTGGCCCGAGCTCCGCCGCTGGCCTTGGACTGCGGGAACCGCGACTCGGAGCAGCTCGGCGCCGCGTTCGCCGGCGCGGCCGTGCCCCTTGTGCCTCCAGCGCTGCCGCAGGCGCCGGCGGCTCGGGCGGCGCGCCGTTGAGTAATTGCCTTGTGATTGCCCGCCTGCGCTCGCTGCTTCGCGCGGCATTGGCGGCCGCCAGCCGAAAACGAAAGCATATTTGTTCCAAACTTTTCGCTGGAACCGAGGGGCTCCGCCGGGGGGTGAATAATATGGGGCGCGGGGTGATCGCGGCCGATTTTGTTTCTCGTCATTGGTTCGATCGACTTGGGCCGCCCTGTGATCAGGCGCACCCTCATCGGCTGGGTTTCCTCGGGGGCAGTCCTGGCCGCGTGGCCGGGGGCGCTCTGCAACAGCTGGTCACAGGCCAGGCGCGGCCCTCCTGGCAGCAGCCGGTGCAAAATCCGACCGCCCGACGCGCGCTGGGGCCTTCCAGGCTTGGAAGGCCGCGCTGCTGCAACTGTCGCTCGAGGGAACAGCCAGCTTCCCTTTATCCCTGAAGATCGCTCGGGCTTGCGAGCACCAGGGAATGTCCGCCTTTCTCGAAAACCCCGCCTCCTCTTTCCTTTGGTCCGTCCCCCCGCTCGTCAGATTATCCCCCCTTGCCTCGTTTCAGTGCCTCGTTTTTGATTTCTGTGGATTTAGGGCCCGGTGGAGAAAGCTGACCAGGGTCCAGGTCTGGGGAAGCGGTTGTTTAATCATGCTGCCCAAGTTGTGCAATGCCCGCGGGGGTATATGTGTACATTCTGGTAAACATCACATGGTCCTCACCTGCCGCGATCCAGCTTCGAGCAAGCTCAGGACTCAACTCGCCCAGAGCTATCTTCGCCGCATGGTATCGACTTTCGCCGCCGCCATTATGCACTGCGTCGAATGTCTCCACTTGGTCCGCCTTCAACAACCGATAATGCTCTGACTAGTTTTGACGGCAATCCTGGCCAGAAGCCATCGTGGGACTTGGGTCCTTTCCCCTCCCTCCGCTCCTGGTCGGTGGTGGTGTCCTCCTTCCTGTTCCCTCCCTTTTTCCGCCGCCGGCCGGTCCGTCGTCGTGCGCAGTTGCCTGGCCGAACACAACATCGAGTTTGGGCTTGGGTGGGGCGTAGGATGGTCGTTCTCTGAACTTTAATCCTGAAGCAGAATGAGAGCCGCCAGATACGTTCGCCTGTTTTCCAGTTGTTGGGTTTCGCAACAGTCGACAACATGTTGTGTGTATCTGCTCTGTAGCCTTTTCTCTCGCCCGCCCTCCCTTCCTTTCCTTCCCCTCCGCTCCTGGTCGGTGGTGGTACCCTCCTTCATGCTCCCTCCCCTCCTCCACCGCCGGCTGCGTCTTGGCATGAGCCGGTCCGTCGTCGTGTGCAGCTGCCTGGCCTGCGAACACGATCGGTTTTTGGTTTGGGTGGAGAGCAGGATGATGATGATGAGGAGGAGGAGGAGGAGGAGGAGGAGGAGGGAGGATGGGAGGACGGGAGAAAGGCGCATTTTGCCAGATGATTTCCAGCGGTTTCGGTCGGCCGATCTCGCTCGGCAGCTGTGGCTCGCACGTTGTCGCGAATCGTGTGTGACATCCTTCTTGGCGGAGGCGTTTCACGTTAATGTCAGCTGAACCGGAAGTGAAACTTGGCGTTCGCTGTTGATTTGAATGTTAGGTCTTGTAATCTACAGGTGTACCGACGTTGGGGCATGCACTTCGTCGGTTGCGTTTGTCCTGGGGATCATCTAGCACAGCCATTGGGGCTGCTTCAGATCACGTTGAGTCGTGAGCTTCGCGTGTCCCAGCCAGCCCATTCCGACACGATGCCCAGGCAAATTGCCCTGACCAGGGGAGTGCATGAGCTCGGGTGCGTCCTTGGGGGGCTTTGTGGCCACTTGGAGACGTCATGGGGCGGCCTTGGGGCATTTAGGAGGGATCTTGGAAACTCTCTTGCGCCAATCTGGATGTTTCTTGAGACCCTCTTGCGAGCCCTGCGGGCCATTTTGGAGCCATCTTGCAGAACCTCGTTCCAACAAGAGGAGGCGGCGCGGACGAAGGCTAAGTCGTGCATGTTGTTCTACAGGTCGAATATTCAAACATGGTAACACACATACAGCCGGCCCAGATTATCAGGTCGACCCTGCCAAATCAAGGGTTCCTGTGTGTCCTGTGTCTCGCGACCCATACTTCCTACATTCCTGTGGCAATGTGGCCTTCGGAAGGGTCTTGTGTCCTCTCGCGTGTCCTGTCCAATCGAGTCCGATTGTACACTGGGGACGATGTGTCGATCATTACTGGAGGTTTGCATATTAATGTGGCTATGTTTTTGAGCTTCGCTCCTCAGACCCGCCCGTAGCGGGACATGCCCGACCCAGGATTTGGGCGCCCCCTCCTGGGCTGGAAGGAGTCACCTCTCGATCTGTGCGCGCGCCTCGGCCCCCCGCTTCCCTTCTTCGGCCGCCCCCCCCCCCCCTCTGGTCCAGCCTCTCGTGCTCGCCTCGCGATCCTGTGGAGGAGGAGGGGGAGGAGGAGGGGGAGGAGGAGGAGGAGGAGGAGGAGGAGGAGGAGGAGGAAGAAAAGGACAAGGAAGAGGAGGAGGAACAAAGAAGGAGGGGGAGGACGAGAGAGGAGGAGGACGCGAGAGGAGGAGGACGCGAGAGGAGGAGGAGGAGGAGCAGGAGGAGGAGGAGGAGGAGCAGGAGGAGAGAGGAGGAGGAGGAGGAGGAGGAGGAGGAGGAGGAGGAGGAACGAAGGAGGAGGAGGAGGAGGAGGAGGAGGAGGAGGAGGAGAACGAGAGAGGAGGAGGACGAGAGAGGAGGCGGACGAGAGAGGAGGAGGAGCAGGAGGAGGCGGAGGAGGAGGAGGAGGAGGTCCTGGGGACGCCCTGTCAGAAGGCTGAGCTCCGGCGCGGAGATCTATCGATGACCATCGCCTGGGCTCCTGGCGAATCGAGCTTCGGGGACCTCGGCAGGCGGTGGGTGTGGATAGTTTCTGGCCTTGAGGGGCGCCAGAGATGTCCATATTCACCGCCCGCCGAGGTCTCAGAAGCTCGCTCCCCCAGGCGGTGGGTATGGTTAAATCCACGCCTCGCGCGAAGGAGTCCTCGAGATCAACACTGAGCCGAGGCGATGCCGATCATAGGGCATGGTATATGCTAGGGTGCATCTCTTGGGAGGTGAAACTCAACATGCAAGCTGGCATATCCATGGCCGAAGACCGTGGTCATCCCGCTGAATTCCGCCTGATACCGCCTTGCTTAAGCCCAGTCTTCGTGAGGGCTACCTTATCGGGCGTGATGCCCCGTTATCGTTCTTACAAAGACCTCCAAAGTTGTCTCCTACGTAACCCCCCCCCCCGGGAAATGAATGCAACTTTTGCAGCAGGTCTTGTCGCAGAATCGTCCTGGGGACTTCCCTGGGGGTAGTGTTGCATCCAGAGCATGTTTCTGAAGGTCTGAAGGCGAGAAAATTGCCCTTGGAGGCCAAACACTACAGAAACAAACACGAAGGCAACGAAAACAAACAAGTCTACGATTAAACTTGCATTACGTTCCAGGGTAGTGTAACCAACTTAGACCTCCCAGATGGGGTCCGAGTAGATAGGATCGGAGGATCGCGCCGCATCGCCGATGCATCGAGGATGCGGCTCGATGTGGAGCCTGAAGTTCTCCACGCCGACGGCGCCGATGCATCGCCCATGCATCGCCGATGCATCGCCCATGCGTCGCCGATGCATCAGCGATGTATCGGCGGTGCGGCATGATCCTCCGACCCCATCTGCTCGGACCCCATGTAGGAGGCCTCGTGAACCAAAGCGATGCTAATCACAGGAATGGGGATACGTTTCGGGCCGGCAGCGAGCCTCGGGAGCAGCCTCGGGGAGAGCGCGCGCGCGTGCGCGGCCCGTCGTGGGCGCTCCGCCGAGGGGCCAAGACGCCAAGCTGCGGTTGGCGCAGCAGCTGCTGGAGGACGAGCGCGAGCTCAAGTCGGCCATCTCCTCTGGAGGGGGGGGGGGGGGCGCCCAATGTTTTCGGACGTTCTCGTTGTTCTCGTTGTTCAGAGGAGGGAAAGGTATCCATACCTCTACCCTTCCATCGTTTTCCCCTTTTGCTTGCCCCTGGGGAGGCCCTCGTCGCCATAGCTGGATTCGCGTCGAAGTCCTGGTCAGAACGCACCCCGGCCGAGGTCCGGGGAGTGGCGGTATCGGTACCTTTTGATTTCCCCGGCTTGTTCTCGTCGGTTCTCCGAGTTGGGACCCGAAAGCGACATCCAGGCGTTGCAGTTTTGTGCCTGCCGGGCCTTTGCTTCTGGGTTTTTTTGGGCCCCTGGGGCAATCACGGATCGATGTGGTTCGAACATTGGTGCAGAGAGATGAGGTCTAGGGCTCCAGTCGGGTTTGCATGATTGTGCAGCGTCGGATCTCAAGGGGAGCGCCAGCGGCGGCGCGAAGTGAACGGCAGAGGATCGGGCGGCGACGGGGGCGAACATCCCAGGGGAGAGCAATACGTGTAATCAGGGGCGTCGATGGTCCATGCCTTCGGCGAGGCTCATGGGCGAATACCCATGAGGGCTATCCTCTCTCCTGCCTCCTCCTCCTCCTCCTCCTCCTCCTCCTTCCTCCCTCCTCCCTCCCTCCTCCCTCCTCCCTTCTCCTCCTCCTCCTCCTCCTCCTCCTCCTCCTCCTCCTCCTCCTCCTCCTCCTCCTCCTCCCTCCTCCACCTCCTCCTCTCTCCTGCCTCCTGCCTCCTCCTCCCTCTTGCCTCCTCATTGCCTCGGCTATGCCCATCCCTGGGCTATTCGTCTCTATCGTCGCCTCTGAGAGGCAAGGCCCTCCGCGATGGCGCGAAGCTGCCCGCGCGTCATTGTTCGCGGCCTGGGCCTTCTTTCTCGTCCTCCTCATCCCTCGCCCTCCTCGTCCCTCGTCCTCCTCCTGTTCTCTGGGGGGTACGCGACAGCGCGAAGTTCTACGCGCGTTGCGCAGCGCGAAGCGCGAATATAGGAGCTCTTTGGGAGGAGTAGCATGCAGCCAAGACGCTGAACTAAGGAGCAGTTTGGGTTCGGAAGGGGCTTTTAGTTACCTAGGTCCCTCCCAAATAGCTGTTTCTCTAGCGCTCCTCGTTTACGCAGGCGCCCTTGGTGCCAAAGAGAGAGCTTCGCTGTTATTTTTCCCCAATCAGTGCTTGCACTGAAGGGGTCCTCGCGGATGTTGCTAGAGTTGGTGAAGGTTGCCTCGCCGATTTTGGTGGCACGCTGGGTTCCAGGTTCCCTGTCCCGGGTTCCCGGGTTTCCCGGTTTTGGTCATTGGTTCCGGGCCGATGGTTCATTACCGATCTCATTGTCGAGTCCATTACGGATCTCATTGGTTCTTGGGTTCCCAGTTCCGGGTTAATCATAGGTTCCGGGCCGATGGTTAGCTATCGATCTCACTACCGATCTCATTGTCGAGTTCATTACGGATCTCGTTCAATGTTCCCCAATCAGTGTTTGCGTTGGGTCTTCGCGGATGTTGAAGGATTTGGCGAAAGTGCCCCGCCGATTTTGGTCGCATGTTGGGTTCCCAGGTTCCCAGGTTCCCGGTTCCGGGTTCCCGGGTTCCCGGTTCGGGGTCCGGGGCCGATTTCGGAGGGCGGCGAGGTTCCCGGGTTCTCGGGTTCTTGGTCGATTTTCTTATCGATCGGTCTCACCATCGGTCTAATTACCGCTTTCTCGATCGATCTCACAATCGATCTCATTATGAATCTCACAAGCGATCTCACTAGAGATCACATGAGCGATCTCGCGATCGATCTCACTATCGATCTCATTGAATCGATTTCACTCTCGGTCTCACGATCGACCTTACAATCGTCCGCACCACTATCGATCTCATTATCGATCTCACAATCGATCTCAAGATCCATAATATCAATTTTCAAATCATCCACTGATTGGGGTTTTCTCAGGTGTAATCTTTAGTTTTCCGTATTTCAGCAGCCCGACAGTATGCCGGTAGCACTGTTTATCCCTTGTCGGAAATTGGGAGAGGGAGGTCCGGGGGAGCAGCGGTGCACCGGAGAGCCTGCCTTTGTTCCCATTGGGTGGGCGTCGGGGGGGGGCGGCAGGACAAGAGCGAGCGGGGGGAGGTTCGGATGCAACTCCTGGGAGGGCAAATTCCGACTTTCCCCTGGTCCGAAATCTGACTTAAACCGGCTTGATCCCGCTTAATATCGCTTAGTCCCGCTGAATCCAGCTTAACCCCGCATATTCCGCAGCCTAATCTGACGTAGCAGCCCCTCAATAGGAGGGACGGAGGGGTCAGAGGAGGAATATGTACCCACACCGCTACCCTTCCCTCGTTGTTTCCTTTTGGGCCTCCTGGGAGGCCGCCCTCTTCGCCACCGCTGGATTCGCCCCAAAGTTCTGGTCAGAACGCACCCCGAGAGAGGTCAGGGGAGCAGCGGCATCGACACCCTCTGGGTTCCCCAAAAGGGAGGGGGGAGGGAGGGTGCGGAGGGGGGAGGGGGGAGCGGGTTGGAGGGGGGGGAGCTCTGGTGGGGTAGAGGTGGACGGGGGAGGGGAACGAGGAGGGGGTAGGGGCGAGGGAGAGAGGCGGGAGCTGAGCGAGGAGGAGTGAGAGACAGGGGGGCACCAGGACGAGCAGGCAGCCCGGCTCCTCCAGGATAGCAGCCCCCGACAATTGGCGGTTACCAAAGCGGCCCTGGGCGTTTACGAAACGGCCGTGCCTTGTTCGCTTTCACCCCTTGGGTGTGTTTGCGAAGCGGGTTCGCTTGTCGGGGTGACGTTTTTTCCTCCCAACGGGGCCCGTGGCAGCTGGGGGGGCGCCGCGCGGCGGCGAGCCGCAGGCTCGCGGTGACGGCTCCGTTTCGGCGCGCCGCCGACGGCGCCGCCGGCTCTTGAGATCCGCCGTCGCAAAACGATGCCAGCATCGCTGGAATCGAAGAATCAAAAACGCCAGAAACAGAGATTTTAGGCGCTCCGCGCGGATATCCTGGATCCGCGCTGGGCCCCCTGGTGGCGCCTCCAGCGCCGCCTTGAGCTCGCTCAGCGCGCCAGGGAGGAAGGTCCAGCGCAGATCCTAGAAATCCGCGCGGAGCGCCAAAGTGTATGTTTATGTTTTGTGTTGTTGTTCCCTACCTAGGCTCTGCCTAGAAGGGTTCTTACTCTCTAGCTCAAAGGGGCCGGGCAGTGGAAAGCGCCCCGGGCGGTTCCCCCAGTCCCCGCCCCGCGGTTCCCCCAGTCGCCTGGGAGCTTTAGCTTTAGCTCTAGCGTTAGTCTTAGCTTTAGCTTTAGCTTTAGCTTTGGCTTTGGCTTTAGCTTTAGCTTTAGCTTAGCTTTAACTTAGATTTAGCTTAGCTCCAGCTTAGCTTCAGCTTAGTTTTAGCTTAGATTTAGCTTAGCGTTAGCTTAGCTTTAGCTTCGATTTACCTTGGACTTGGCTTAGCGTTAGTTTAGCTTTAGCTTAGCGTTAGCTCAGTTTTAGCTTAGCTTCAGTTTAGATTTAACTTAGCTTTAGCTTAGCTTAGCTTTAGCTTAGCCTTAGCTTAGCTTTAGTTTAGCTTTAGCTTAGCTTTAGCTTAGCTTTAGCTTAGCTTTACAGTTACTACTAATGCTGCTTTCCTAGGGGTTCCAACTCCTAGGTAGGGTCGCACTTGGATTTTGATTTGCTCGCGGGTGATCGTCTGCCGAACACTCCTGCCCGTGGCGCCGAAACGACGAGCGAGGGGCCCGAAGGAAGGGCCGAAAGAGACGAGGGACGGACCCCATGAACCCAGACAGAGCCGAGCGAGGGACACGACCGAACACACAGGGACAACGAAAAATCGAGGGCCCGAAACAGAGTGCAACGAGTGTTAACTTAATTAACACTCATTAAATCAAGCGGGGCGGTACTAGAGAGAGATCTCAAGACAGCCTCCGCATCACATCGTCTCAGACAGCCCGCTTCCCGCGGTTGAGACGTAGAGCGGGCCGATCAAGATGGTCATCATCATCTGGTGGCCGGAACGAGTTCGGCGGGAAGTGGAACGGCGTTGCTTGAGCAGCATGTGCTCTGAGCCAGGCACGTGCCACGGCATCCCGAGCATTCCACCAATCAGCACCAGGAACGACGGCGCGAGGTCGACGATGCACACGAACAGCTTGACCAGGTGCTCTGAGCCAGACGTGCGCCACGGCAGCACGAGCGCACCACCAAGCAGCACCAGGAACGACGTGAGTAGAAGGGCCAGACTCGGCCGTCACAGCCTCCTTCTGGAAGTCGACGTCGAGACGAAAGCGTACAGGTACAGCAGGCACAGCTTGAAGACCAGCAGGCTCTCGATGAGGAAAGAGCTTCCCAACATCTCGAGGACCAGCAGGCTCTCGAAGACCAGCAGGCTCACGAAGATCAGCAGGCCCTCGATGAGGAGGAACATCATGAAGACCAGCAGGCTCTCGATGAGCAGCAGGAACATCATGAAGACCAGCGGGATCTCCACGAAAGTTGTATAGACCCACTTCAGGAGGATCCAAATGACCAGGAAGTTAGAAACGACACGGCTCAGGAAGGTCGTCAGCAGGAACAGCTTGAAGATCATAAGGTTCTCGGCGAGCAGCGAGTTTTCCAGGCTCCAGACCAGCAGGCACTCGAAGACCAGCAGGCTCTCGATGACCAGCAGGCTCTCGAGGAGCAGGAACATCAGGAGCGTCACCATGATGTAAATCAGGAAGGTCGTCGTAGCGGCTCGCATCTGTGGCTGGCGGTGCCCAGCAACCAGGAGCGAGCTCTGCATTCACATGAACAGGAAGTCGGGGCTGGAAGGGATCGGCCTCGGCGTTGAGCGGAAAGGCCATCATCTTCAGCGTCGACTCGAGGACAACGGCCCGAACAGCCACAGGCGGCGGCGGCGGCATCCCGCTCGCGCATGGCGGCGGGGCGTGGCGGCACCAGTTGCCAGTCTCCAGGGCGTCAATGGAATCCTGGAGCTCCGCGTCGTCGAGCCCCACCAGGCGGGCCGCCGCGATCGCGGCGCCCAGCGTGGGAATGTGGCCGCCCAGGCGATCTCCAAGGCGCCAGTGGGCGTCGAGGGCGACACGGAGGCCACGCAACCGGTAGGACATAGCGGCGGCCCTCGTCTGCCCGAGCTGCGCCCTCCATTCGCGTCGAAGGCGCCGAGCCAGGGTCCGAGCACTCGCCGCAGCCCAGGCTTTGCCGCCAGCAGTGACAGCACGAGACATTGCGGCCGCTTGCGCACATGCGCCTGGAGCAGGCGCGCTGGCGAGGGCCTCCCGAAGCGCGGCTCGCTTGAGCCAAAATGGCTACGGAGGTCGCACTTGGATAATTTTTCTCTTTCTGGGGAAATCACGACTCGAGCCCTAGACCTAGACCCCATTCTGCATCAGCACTATTCGAGGCCAGGTCGATCGGTGCTGGTCCCGCGGCCCGAAGCTGGGGCGACCACGCCTGGAGCGAAACATAACCACGCCCCTCCTCCCGCTCTTCCTCTTCCTCCGCGGATCGCGGGGGTCACCGCCGTCGCCGTCGTCGCGCACGGTGAACAAGAGAGTCGGCGCTGGCCCGTGGCGCTGGAAGCCGCGACGCCCAGCCCTCAAGGCTTGATGGGCCTGTTTTCCACCACCTCCACTATAAGTTGGGGGGAAAGGGGTGGATGATGAGGATGATGATGATGATGATGATGATGATGATTCTGATGATTCTGATGATTCTGATGATGGTGGTGGTGATGTTGATGACGGTGATGATGCTGATGCTGATGTTGATGATGATGATGGTGACGATGATAATGTTGATGATATGCTGATGCTGATGCTAATGCTGATGATGATGATGATGGTGATGATGATGATGATGGTGATGGTGATGATGCTGATGCTGATGCTGAGGATTAGGATTAGGATCAGGATTAGGATTAGGATTAGGAGGAGGAGTAGGAGGAGGAGGAGGAGGAGGGCCCCCTCCCCCTCCTACTATGGTGGTGGCGGTGGAAAACAAGCCCACCATCTGTCGGCCCCGGGGAGGTGTGGCTCTCGTGGCGATCGGCGTGGGCCTCAAGGGGGCTCCTTCGGCTCCCCCACCTGCTTCTCTTCCCTCGCTCCTCTTCTTCCCTCCCTCCTTCTCTGCCCTCCCTCTCTCTGTTCCTCCTCCCCCCTTCTCCTCACTCCCTCCCGCGCTCCCTCCTCCTCCCTCCACAAGTGCTCATGGTGAATACTGCTCCTCTCCTCCCCCCTGGCTCTGTGCGGAAGATGTCCTGCCCTCTCCTCTGATTATTTCGCACCTCGGATTCCAAATCATGTGTGTTGTTCGTTCCCAGTCGTTTGTTTCCGATCCGACCTTGCTTTGTGTTTCAAAATGGCGTTCCCGCTGCAGCGTGGGCCTCATCTTCGGATCGGCGCTGTACCCCCGTCGTTCAGAAGGGCATTGCTGCTGTTCGTCCTGGTCCTCGTCCTTCCTCATCCGCCTGTTCATCCTCCTTCTTCCCCGCCACCTCCTCTCCTCCTCGTCCTCGTCCTCCTCCTCCTCCTCCTCCTCCTCCGTAGCCATGTTGGTTCATGCTTGCCTTGGGCGCCAGGCGGGCGGCAGCGTTGGGTCTCTGCCGCGGCGGCGATGGCTCCCCTGGGGATGGCTGCGGCAGGCTGCACGGCTGCGCATGGAGCGGCGGAGCAGCCCGACGCTGCGGCGGGCGCGGGGTCGCTGTGCGGCTCGTGCGGCGGCCGCGAGCCCGTGCGGCGGCTGCGGGCCGTCTTGTTGCGGCGCTCCAGAGGAACACCGAGCTGGAGAGGAGCAGGTGATCGGGCTGCAGGTCGAGCGGCGCCATGCCTGGGCGGCGGGCCGCGCTGCGGCCCTTGCGGCGGCCCAGCGCGCCTCGGAGGCTGCGCCCGAGGCGGCGGACGGGTCGGCCACGCAGCGCGACCCCGCGCTGCAGTGCGAGCTTGTGGAGCGATTGGCGCTGGTGCCGCGCGTCCTGGAGGCGGACCTCCAGGCCAGGACGCGCCCAAGAGCGCATTGCAGGAAGGCAGGCGCAACACGGCATGCTACGACCCGCGGCTGGCCGCGGCCGAGGTCCGCGCCATGCCTCAACGCAGCGCGAGGCGAGGCGCGCTGGCCTTCGGCCGCGGCGTGGCAGCAGGCGCGCGCCGGTTCAGCCGCGGCACCGTCGGCTGCCCGCGACGCGCTGGGCTGCGGACGCGGCCCCGCTGGCATGGCGCGTGGTGGCCATGCGTGGCCGCGCAGCACGCAGTGCGCCGCCTGTGCGAGCACCTCGGAGCACATCTCGCGCCGAGAGGCCGCCTGGGGTCGCAGTCGCCCGTTGGTGGACAGCGGCGGTGGCGGTGGCAGGAATGAGTGGCGGCCTCGATGTCCTCCCTCCGTGCGGCGCCGCCGACACCCAAGGTGTACCTGGTGATGACGAGGGTGGAGCCGCAGTGGTTCGTAGTGCTGCAGACGTCCGTCGCCTCCCTCGGCAAGCCTGTCGCGATGCCGCTCACGTGCCCCGTGCTGGTCCCGGCGAGGAGGAGAGCGTCGCGAACGACAGCACCAAGGTCCCTCACCCTGCCCGTGGTGCCGCCGCCACGGGTGCTGGCGATGGAGTCTCTCTGGATGGCGTTCACGGAGGGGCCCGCGGGGTCGAAGGGGCCGCCGTTCGGCTCGCTCACGGTGCCTCCCAAGGTCGTGGTGCGGCAGCCGACGGTGATGTTGATGGCGTTCTTCCGTTTCGTGGCCCTGACGTCGCCGACGACCCGTTCGACGAGCGCGCTGCCGTCGGTTGCGTGCGGCGCCTCGTGGTCATGCGGCGGAGGCACATGTACCAGACCGGGGCCATCGAGGACCGCCTGCAGGGCGAGGCCCAGCTCGCCAGCACGGCCGCGGAGCTGGAGCAGGCGAAGGCGGCAAAGCGGGCACGCCCCCGCGAAGGCCAGGCAGGCCAGGGCGGCGCAGCGCGGGAGGTGAGCCTCGGGGGTTTGGCCGCCCGCTGCGCCGTGTAGGGGCGGGCCCGTGCTCTGTCCTACTGGGTCCGCCTCGAAATTTTGCCGTGGCGCCCCCCGCGGGTTTGTGGGCCGCCGCCGTCCGGGTCGGGCGGCCGCTGGCAGCTGCTGGGGTTTCCCGCTCTTGTACCCGCGGGGATGGCCCGTGGCTTGCTCTCGGGGTAGGCCAGGGTCGGGCGGATGCCTGTCTGGGCTGCTTCGGGGTCATTCCCTCGTCGCCACGGCGTCCGCATGGCGTGCTCGAGGCGGCGCGGGAGTCTCGTGACATCCGGGGCCTTGGCGGTCGCTTACGTGCAGACGGCCGCCAGGGCCTCTTTGATGATGTTCCATTCCTCCTCCTCCTCCTCCTCCTCCTCCTCCTCCTCCTCCTCCTCCTCCACGCCCTCCTATGTACGCAGCGTCCCTTATCCGATAGCTGTGGAGTCTCAGGTTTGGCTATGACACGCGTCCGCGAGTTGAGAAACACATCGGCGCAATTGGATGGAATGGGAGGGAGGGGTAGGATGTCAGGTATGGCGCGATCGCACCTCGCTGGTCTGACCCCCTCTCCCTTCGCCTTCCTCATCCCTCCTCTCTCCTCTCTCCTCCTCCTCCTCCTCCTCCTCCTCCTCCTCTCCTCCTCCTCCTCCTCCTCTCCTCCTCCTCACCCTCACCCTCCTCCTCCTCCTCCTCCTCCTCCTCCTCCTCCTCCTCCTCCCCATCCACACGTGCACGCTTTGAACTGAATTGTCTTCCCCTGACCCTGTCCAGAACATCTCGGGCTCCCTTCCCGCGTCCTATTTTCTAAAGCAAGATGGTTCCGAATTCTGTTGTGTTCCAATGCGATTTCGCAATATGATTTGTTTGTGCTTCAAGCATGGTGTTCCCGCTGCAGTGGGGGGCTCATTTCAGGCTTTGCGCTGTGCTTCCGTCGATCAGGCTGGCGTTCCCGCCCTAGCGCGGGCCTTCCTCTGAATACGGGTCGTTTTGTCGCCTTCCGCTGTTTTCCCCATCCGCCTTTCCCAAGTTCTTGCTGCCCTCCAACTCCTTCCACTACAGTTCCTGCTGCTGCTATTCGTCCTCCCCCCTTCCTCCCATTCCTCCGTTCCCTGCTGCTCGTCATTATGCCCACCCACCGTCTTCTCCTCCTCTGAATGCAGCTTTCCTTTTTTTCTGGATGCGCACAACACGATCGGGTCTTTTGCCGAGCTCCAGGTCGGCTATGGCTATGACACGCGTCCGCGGATGGAGAAACCATCCGCGCAATAGGGGGTGGGAAAGATGGGGGATGTGATGTCAGACATGGCGCGAGCGCACCTAGCTTGTCTCCTCTCCCGTTCCCCCCCCCCATCCCTCCCTTCCTCTCCCCCCATCCTCCCTCCTCCCTCCGCCCTCCTCCTGCGATGGCGCAAGTGGCAGGCCCTCTCGGTTCCCAGCGCAGCCCGCACCTTCGCGCGAGGTGCCCCCGAGCTCAGCACACTGCCCATGCCTCGGTCGGTCCGACGACCGACCCCCCTTCTCTGAATCCGCGCGGGCCCTCCTGGGGGAGCTTTCGGGGCCCTCCCTGGGGCCAGCCGAGGACTCTCTTTTTTGGGGGGGCCCTCGGCCCCACGAAGGGGCGTTACAGTGGAGACCCATGCCAAGAAACGCCCTGCTGGCCTCCAGGGTGCTCCGGGTCCCTTGGATTTCGATGGCTTTGCGATGGGGGGCGAGACGTTCCCGCACCAGGAATGCATGATCGCCCGGGGGTCTCAGGGTTGGGTTTCTTGTAGGAGGTTTCTTGTGGTCGGGCCCCTAGCGCAGGCCTCCCAAGGATCTGCCCGCGTCGCCGATCGGCTCAGCGTTGCGGCTCGTCGGTAACGAAGACGACGACGAGGACGACGACGACGACGACGACGACGACCTGTACACAGCCATTGCTCCCTTCTCTTCCTCGCCTCCTTCCCTCCTCCTCCCCCCTCCTCCTCCTCCTCCTCCTCCTCCTCCTCCTCCTCCTCCTCCTCCAACTCCTGCTCCTGCTCCTGCTCCTGGTCCTCCTCCTCCTCATCCTCCCACAACTCCTGCTCCTGCTCCTCATCCTCCTCCTCTTCCTCCGCAACCGCATGGACGACATTCCCGGGCAGCAGTTGTCACGGGCAGCTCGTGGTGTTTTGTCATTGGTGTTCCGTTGTCTCTCCCAGGCTGATGTCCTCTTCGCGAGTTTGTCTATTGCAGGTCGGTTTGTGTAGCGGTGTGGGTTTGCCTGGCGTCTCAAAGGCTTGCATTGCGGTCACATCCTAGGCGTCGGCATTTGGTGGTCGCGTTCTGTCCTCCTCACAAAGCGTAGCAAACATAGCCTGACGAAGCACACAACCAGATGCAGCTGCGAGTACTCTTCCTTTCTTCGGGGATATGTGAGGGGTTCGCCGACAAAGGCGCGGACGAATGCGGGCGGCGCCACGAGGACCTTCGCTGGAGCTTTCCATGGGGGCACGAAACGTGTGAGGGGTGTGCCGACATGGGGGGCGAGAGCGCATGCGTCCGCAACCATCGGGGCTTTCGGTGAAGTTCCTGTGGGGCTACGAAACGTGTGAAGGGTGTGCCTAGATGGGTGGCGCGCACGCATGTGGATGCAGCCGCTGGGGCCTTCGGTAGAGTTTCCTATGGGGCCACGAATCGTGTGAGGGGTGTGCCGACACGGGTGGCGCAGACGATTGTGGACGCAGCTATTGGGGCCTTCGGTGGAACTTCTTGTGGGGCCCCGAAGCGTTTGCGGTGTCTGCCGACATGGGTGGCGCGGGCGCACGTGGAGGCAGCCACAGGGGTCCTCGGTGGAACTTCCCATGGGGCCACGAAACGTGTGAGGGGTATGCCGACATGGGTGGCGTGGACGCATGCGGGCGCAAACAATAGGGCCTTTCGGTGGAGTTACTTATGTGGCCACGAAACGTGTGAGGGGTGTGGCTAAATGGAAGTCGCGGACGCATGTGGACGCAGCCACTGGGGCCTTTGGTGGAGCTCCTTTGGGGCCACGACACGTGTGAAGGGTGTGCCGAAATGGCGACGCGGGCGCATGTGGACGCAACCATTGGGACCTTCGGTGGAACTCCCTTTGGGGCCACGAATCGTGTGAGGGGTGTACCGAAATGGGTGGCGCGGACGCATGCGGTCATAGCCTTTGGCGTGGCGGATCCCCTTTTGGGGCCGCGAAACGCGTGCTGGGGTGTGTCGAAAGTGGCGGCGCGGGCGCGTGTTGACGGAGCCATTGGGGCCTTCGGTGGAGCTCCGTATGGCCTATGGGGCCACGAACCGTGTAAGGGATGTGCCGAGATGTGTGACAACGGTGATGATGATGATGATGATGATGATGATGATGATGATGATGATGATGATGATGATGATGCTGCTGCTGCTGCTGCTGCTGCTGGTGGTGGTGGTGGTGATGATGATGATGATGATGATGATGATGATGATGATGATGATGATGATGATGATGATGATGATGATGATGATGGTGACGACGAAGACACGCGGAGGGCAGAGGCAGGGACGGAAAGGGAAGGACAAAGGAGGGGGAGCAGGAAGGAAATGAGGGAGACGCGGGGCGCTGTCTCTTCAAAACAAGAACCCAACACCACAGGATGGTTAGGAAAAACGGATCCACTGTTCCCTGACTGGGCGCATCCTGGACCCAGGAGTTGTGCATATGCCCTCCCGGTCAAGCCAGAGGGGCGTGACGTTCTCACCGCTGCCGGGTTCAGGATGGCCCTAGCCAGGGAGCCGTGGATGTGTGTAGATTTCGTCATCGCCGACGCATCCCCGATGCGGTGCCCACGACGACCACGACGGCGACGACTTCGACGTCGGCGACGACGGCCATGACGACGACGCCGACGGCGGCCGCTTCGGCGACGGAGGCGGTCGCCGCCGCGGCGACGACGCCCACGGCGGCCGCTTCGACGACGACGGCGACGGCGACGACGACGACGACGAGCAGCGGCGGGCGGCACCTGGCGGCCGCCGGGCGTCGCGCTCGCGCGGGGTGCGCGGCAGGGTCGCCGCCGCCGGCGCGCTGGGAGGACTTGTCGCACGGCCTGTGGCCCGCCGCCCCGGCGGCGGGGGCGCCGCCCTGAGGCGCGCCGCATCCTCCTCCTCCTCCTCCTCCTCCTCCTCCTCCTCCTCCTCCTCCTCCTGCCCCTCCTCCTCCCTCCTCCTCCTCCTCCTCATCCTCCTTCTCCCTCCTCCTCCCTCCTCCTCCTCCTCCTCCTCCTCGTTCTCCTCCTCCTCCCCCTCCTCCTCCTCCTCCTCCTCCTCCCCCTCCTCCTCCTCCTCCTCCTTCTCCTCCTCCTCTTCCTTCCCCTCCTCCCCCTCTTCGGATGGGGAGCGGAGGCGGGACGGAGTGGAATGGCAACCTGCCCTGAGGGGTGGGCGGGGCCTCGAGGTGGTCTGCCGCACGCCGCCGCCGTCGCCGAGCGTGGCAGGCCCGTTCGCGCTGAGGGCGAGGGAGGGTTCTCCCAGGGTGGGGCTGGGGAGGGGGCCCAGCTGGCTGCTCCTGCTTGACGCGCTTTCCCTCCTTCCAGGGGCCGTTGGGAGCGATCTTCCTGCCAACACCTACATGTTTGCCCCAACCCCACCTGTCCCCCCCCCCCCCGATCGGAGAGATCTGGCTCGGGCGCTGAGGCGCCGCCCCAAGACGCGCAGTGCTGGGCCGCCCCGCGGCGGCCTGCCGCACGCCGCCGCCGCCGCCTGTTTCGCCGCACGTCGCCGTCGCCGAGCGTGGCAGTTCAGTTCGCGCCGAGAACGTCTCCGTCCGGCTTCGGGCGGGTCCAGGGGCAGCGCTAGGGTTGTGGAGGACGATCAATGGCGAGGAAGCATGCTGCCAAATAACTTCCAGATGTCTAAAACATGTGTTACAACTGTTTAAACATATACGAAAAAAACAGGTTTTCAACATTTCCAGGACGTGTTTTTCCTACATTTTAAACACAAATTCAATTCGATGATCGGATTGTTAGGGTGTCCATTGTCGTGGCATTCACAACGCTTGGGTGGGAGAAGCCAGGAAAACGAACGATGACATAGACATGAAATCTCTGAGATCCGGGGTGGGGGGGGGCGAGCGCCGTGCAAGTAAACTTGCTTGGATCTCAAGAAAAAACAGGCTCTTCCCACGCTTGGGCGATCCCGCCTGGCTTCGGGCCCCCGGGGCCCTCGCAGATAGGTATGGTTCCGGCGCCGAGGTGTGGCGAGAGTCTTCGAATGCTTTCCCGAGGTCGTCGGCGGTTTTGCTTTCGTGGCTGGTACCGTCGCTCGTCTGCTCTGCAAGGCCCCGGTGGTGCACATCATGTCCACGACGAAGGAGGCCGATCCTGAAAAGACGCACGTGGCGTTGATGGCGGCGCTGATGCACTTCGAGGGCGTCGTGAACGCCGACTTCGTCACACATTCTGCAGATGCGCTGGTTCCCCAGCCTGCAATCGGCATTGACGTAGGCAAGCTAGCATCAGCCGCCTGCACGGTTCGTCTTACATCGCAGAAGAAAACCACATTAGCATACATTTTTGGAGCACGTGATTTCTTGGATCGGCGCTGGACCCCCCTGCACAGAGTGCGCCAGGGGCCGCGCCAGAGGCGCCACCTGGCGTGCCAAAGCGCCGATCCAAGAAATCCGCGCGGAGTTCCGAGAGTTGTATGTTTGTGTTGTTTTGTTGTTTGTCTGCAGCAAGGAAGTCAGTGTGGCCTCTGACTGTCCTTGGAGATCATCTTTAGATGCCCCGTTTGGAGATCTTGCTTGGGCCCACAGAGGATCGATTCGATTCTAGTTCGACTCTAATTCGAGTCGGGTTCGATTCAGGTTCAATTCAGATTCGACTCAGGAACAACTCAGGTTCGACTCGAATTCGACTCGGGACGACGGACGCTCGACGCAGCTTCGACGCACGAGTGGAGCGATTGGCTCCAGAAAGGTCCCCAGAATGAGCCTCGAACATATTGGGCGCCGCGGCGAAGCATTTCCTTCAGGCAGTTGACAGGGCTCCTGCGAGGGGGCAAGCCGCTGTCGGAGAAGCAGCTGGCGCCCACGACGAGCACACCAGTCCTTTCGGCGCGGAGGGCCTGCTTGGCATCAGGTGGCGAAAGCCACGCGGCCATCCACGCGGGCCTCGGCACGGCGATCGCTGCGGGGTCCGCTTCCAGTCTCGATGATCCTCAGGACGTGTGTTAGCTCGATGTGTTCACCCCGTTGAGCCCCAGATCGTTGCGTCGCCTGCGTCGCATTGACCGGGTCGGCGCCGACTCTTTCGGTATGCGTTGGACTCCGCTCCCTGGCGCCTGGCGCGCGGAGCACGCCAGGGGCAGCGCCGGAGGCGCCGCCGGGGGTGCCCAGCACCGATCCAAGAAATACGCGCGGAGTTCAAACTGTTTTTTTGGTTACGGTAGGCTTGCGTCGTGTCCACCGGCGTCGACCCCGTGGCCGGCGTGTCGCCAGCGACCCAGAATCGGTCGATGCCCCGCGGTGCCAGAAGCCAGCGCCGAAGTCGGCACGATACGAACCTCCCCTCCCATCCTTGGCCGCTTTCGCTGGCCGCGCCACGCCCGCAAAGTGTCGACATGTCCCTCCAAGGCCTTTGTATCCTTATCGCGTAAACTCATTTCGGCGGCGGGCGAGGGGGGGAAGTGATAAGGTGCGGGCCTTCCCAGAAGGCTCGGAAGTCCCCCGGCCTTCTGAGAAGTTTCTGAGTTTTCTCCGAAGTCGCCGAAAACCTTCTGAGGCGCGAGGGCTTCTGAGAAGTCCCGCGGCCCTCTGAGAAGGCCTTCTCTGTCACACTTCCCCTCCTCGCCCGCCGTCGATTGCAATGGAGACCCATGCCAGAAAACACCCTGCTTGCCTCCAGGGTGCCCTGGGTTTCTCGCGCTTCGATGGTTTTGCCGTGGACGGCGCGACGTCCCCACACCAAAAATCCATGGACGTCCTGGGGTCTCAGGGTTGGGTTTTTCCTTGTGGAAGGTTTCTGGTTGACTGACCTCCAGTGTATCGCGCGCCCTACTTATATGCCAGTCGTTGAAAGTAGGTATTCTTGGATTCCCCAGTCCAAATCTACGTCAAGCGCCTTCCTACTTCAAGAATCGGCATGCTTTTGCTGTGTTTTTTATTCTCTGGCAGGGCCTGGACCCAATCCACTTTATCCGCCTTCCTACTCCTCAAGGGAAGAGAAGCCACCCGGACCCGATTACTGGCGTTTGCTACACGGCCCTGGGCGTTTACTAAACAGCCCTGCCGTGTTCGATTCCTTCTTTGGGTGCGTTTACTAAACGGCCTCGCTTGTCGGGGTGGTTATTTTTACCTACTTCTTCCGACCGACGTGTACACGAGCCGATTGTATGATGTGTCCCCTTCGCTACGCCCCCGGGCTCATCGGCCTGTGCGGCGCGCCCGCCGAGGCGGCAGTTGTAGTGCCCGCCCTCGCGGCGACCGTCGGGGGCTCTCACCCGCACGGCCTGCGGGCAGCGCCGCGGGAAAAGGAGGCGCCCGAGGGATCCTGCCGGCTCTTGCTTCTCTCGTGGTGTCTTGGCCCACCCTCCCCCGAGAGCCTGGCGCCCTGATTTTGTCTCGAGCTGGGCGCTTTGATCGCCTCTCTTTCGGGCCCCAGGACCCTCACAGATCATCGATACGGCTCGGAAGATGACGCAGAATCATGGGGGTCTAGGGCTCCGGCTCCGGCCGTGATTTTTCACAAAGTTGTTTTTTTTTCCGCTGCGTCGGATCTCAGGGTAATGTTTGACCACCAGAAAGAATTCCAAGCACCAAGAAAGTACCGAAACTGGATGGTTGTTACGCGCCGGGTCCTGAGAGGCGATGCTCGTTCGACCTTTCGCTGGCGTGTCGGGCAGACCTTGTTTCGATACTTTTCTCGAGGTGCTCGTGATGATGCAGTCGGAGGTCCCAAACGGTGCTGTGGTCACACTGTTTGTTGACCTAGGCTTTTACCAGATATGGTCGGAGCAGATAGGTTCGGAGGGTCGCGCCGCAACACTGGTGCATCGGCGATGCGGCTCGATGGTGAGCCCAATTTTCTTCACGCTGGCGTCGCCGATGCACCGCTGTCGTTACGTGGCATCTTCGGGGGACTTCGCCTGTCCCCAAAATGTGTGTGTGTGTGTATCTTTGTGCCCGAAGCAGGCTCGAGGCGGACATGACGCGGATGTGGCGTGGATTCGGCGCGGATTCGACGCGGACAGGGCCGCGACGGGACAGACAAGCTTCCCCGAGGAAGCAACATAATTGTCGTCGTTTTGCGATGCGGCGCGATCCTCCGACCCCATCTACTCGGACCCGTTCTAGTAAGACGCCCCCAATAGGGGGCCGTCTGCGCCGACATCGGCGCGTGAGCTGCCCGCGCAAGCCCGCATGCAAGCGCGCGCTCGCTTCCAATGTAGGGTGCCGCGCTGGCGGCCCGCGTGAGCCACCGCGTGAGGTCGCCATGCCGTCTCGCGTGAAACCCCGTCCTGATCGTCGCACATTTAGGATGATGGGTTTGTTTTCCACCACCACCACCAGAGGTTGGAGGGGGAGGGGGTCCTTCTCCTCCTCCTCCTCCTCTTCGTCCTCCTCCTCCTCGTCCTCCTCCTCCACTTTCTCCTCCACCTCCATCTCCTCCTCCCCCTCCTCGTCCGCATCCTCCTTCCCCCCTGCAACTTCTGGTGGTGGTGGTGGTGGAAAACAAGCCGACCATTGGAGGCCTCTAGATGAGTCAGGGGGGAGTCGGGCTGGCCGCACGGCTGCGGGACTCGCGCCGCTCTCCGAGGGGGCGCCTGGCTCTTTGTGGGTGAGGCCATTTGTTGGAAAATCTCGAGGTCACTGCACGGTCTGTCACCGCACCGCTGTGGGTCCTTCTTCTCCTCCTCCCCCTCCCCCTGCTCCTGCAGGCTGCCGTCCGGGCTCAAGGACCTTTGGGTGCAGGTGCCAGGCATCTGCGAGGACCCCGCCCCGAAACGGCCCCACGCGATAGCCGCCGCCACGGCTGTCCGTCGTCTTCCCGAGCCAGCTTGGCACAGACGTGAACGTGCGAAGCGCTCGCTTGCGCGAGCCATCGTACGCATTGCAGGAGCAAAACGACTTCTCGAAGCCCATCACAGCAGACAAGGAGGCATGGCCTGGTCGCCAAAGGTGTCTGTTCAGTCCTCGCCTTGTGCTGCGCAACGAGTGCAACACCATCAATTGGACGGCCCGTACTACGTGCCGTACCTGTCCGCCGCCCGTGTCTCCCGACCACGCTATGAAGAAGTCGCTGGACAAGGGCAGGGGCAAAACCAAGGACAAGTGCAAAGGCAAGGACAAGTCCACCAGGGCCAAGTCCAGGGACAAGTCCAAAAGGCCCAACTCGAACTGGAGGTCCGGCACCGCCTGTTCTTCCGCGGCGTGCTGCTCAGTCTTCTCCAGTTACTGGCCCTGCCACGAAGTCGACAACGCCTACGACACCACAAGAAGAGGATTCTTAGGAATGGGCCGACGAGAACGCATGGGACGAGGACGACGCGATCTCTGCCAAGGAGTTTCTCCATATTCGTCCTGCCCTTCCCTCGGTGGCAGCTGTTCATCCTATGTTTCGGCCATCACCACCGTCTTCTGCGACCGACGCCACCAAGGAAGCCTACAGGCAGAAGGCGGTTGCTCGTCTCGAAGTTCTCGACACGTTGATCGAAGATCGACACGTAGCAGGACCACCTGCAGAAGATGCAGCTCTGGAGTACGCGGTGACCCTGTCGATGATGTACCAAGCTCGTGGCATTGCGGAGCATATCATCAAGCAGGACGAGGTGATCGGCAGGGCCGAGAAGCGGCACCATAAAGCGACCGACGACCTCCACGAGACCGAGTAGTTGATGGAGGCCCTCACCGCAGACGCGAAGAAATACCAGCAGGACCGAGCGCACATGAGAACGGCAAGAGCCGAACTCCAGGTTCCGAAAGAAGAAGAAGAACGCCAACAAGCTGCCCAAGAGCAGCACGACAATAACGAGGAGGACACTGATATGAAGTCCCAGCCCCAGCAGTCCCATCCGAGCACCCTGGTCGCCATGGCGCTCCAGCAAGAACAGATGACCTTGCTCGTGGAGCAGGCCAACAACCTCACCATTGCCATCGCGGGCTTGCAGGCGACGGGCGGCCTCCGCGGAAAAGGCGCCCGCCCCAAGGGATTCCCACGAGCGGGCCCTGCTGGCGGACTGGCTGCCCCCGCAGCTGCCGCGGCGGAGGTCTGAGCGGCCTCCGACCTCAGCGGACCTGGCGAGAGCATGGCCACCCCAGCGACGACGCCCGCCCCGTCGGCACAGGCGACGCTGCTCGCCCAGCAGGCGGTCCTGAGTGCAGGAGCACTCCCGCCAGCGGCCGCCATGGCCCCGAGGCCGAGGACCGAAAAAAAACTACGACTGGCACGACAACGGCGTGGACGCCGACAGACGCCGAGAGGGCTCCAACAGCCCTGGACGTGGACGCAGTCGCGATCGCGGGGCGGAGAGAGAAGCTGTCCAGGAGATCCAGAGGTCCAAGACGACGTTGGGGGGCCCTGTGCAGTCAATGGCGCCCTACGCGGCGCAGCACCTACTGATGCCCCTGCCCGCGTGAGCAGCGGCCGCCCATTATCCCAACCTCCTGTCGCCTCGCCCCCACTCCCCCATGGTGCGAGTTCCATAGGGGGGCCCACCCGGCCCCCGAGACGTGTCCCCCTTCTTCCGGTTGCCGATGCCAAGAACGCGCTTTGTCAGCCCCAGCCGTTCCAACTTCAATATGTCCTGCCCCCCCCGGTACGTGTCTCTATCTGCGCGGATGGGGCGGGGGGCAGTCAGGCTGCAAGCGCGCCAGTGGTCCCAGAGGCTGTGGTCGCTGTTGTCTAGCACTATCCTGACGGGGCCTTCGCCGTCGTAGGATACCTCACTGCTATTGTGCCCGAGGATATTAGAGAGTGCTTGCAGCTCAACAGTCTTCTGATTCATCCGCACTGATGGCTGCTGCGTGGGCCCTGGCATATGTTGCCCAAGGAACCTACCCCGACGTGCCAGTCGAGTTTGTGATCGATTCCAAGCGGACCCTCGGCGTCATCTCAGGCTCCCAGCTCTTCGATTTCAAAAATTCGGTGTTGATGTTCCTCCGCTCCGTGACGCAATGGCTCGGGGGCTCCAGGGATCTGTCGTTTCGTCGCGCCTCCTTTCACATTGGAGAAGGTTTCAATGAGCTGGTCGACGCGATTGCTCGGTTGTCTGGAATGGGTATCCTACCATACCCACCCTGCATGCTTTTCGCAGAGTATTTATTTGGTGCTACCCCAGTTGCTTGGCTTGGATGCATGAGCAAGGCCAAGCCGCGCAATGCCCCGAGGCTCCGCTCCCCCGAAATTCCGATGACAATTTCCTGGAGGTTGCTGACACGTTTGCAGGGGGATGCGCTGCGAAAGACATTCTTGGTGGTTCCCGACGGCCCCCAAGGCCTCAAGTCCCCATATCTGGTGGTGTTGGAGGGCCCATCTAGTCTCACTATTAAAGTGGGTTCGGCCCATGTGCATACCCTCAGAAACAATGCCGACAGATGGGCCAGGACCGGTAGGAAACGAGCGCCGGCTAGGGCGCAAGAACTCACCGGACGCAACGCGCCAGGCAGACTCACAATGCTGGCCAAACAAGTTTCTGGAGCTGGCTATCGCATTGTCGCGACCGTCGAGACCAGTCACCGCTCCCGCATGCCTAGCCGCGTGGGTGATTTCGCTGTCTACTTTGCTGCGTGCACTGAAGATGGCAAGGGCGGCATCGCTATCAGGGTCAACGTGGGCCAGCCCCTGGGGGGGGGTAGGCCACTGCTCTCCAAGCAGCAAGTGGCCATCACATACATAGCTCCTGCGCGTCTACTCTTGTCGCCGCAGCTCCCAGGCGCCAGATGTTTTGACATTTGCGGGCCACGGGCCCCGCGAGGCAGTCAAGGAACCCAATGCTCTGGAGAATTGGCGGGCCCAATCCCAGGCCATCCCACAGCCCCTCGTCGACGTCGGGCATGCAGCGGTTTCGTGCGTCGACGCCAATGCCGAAGTTGGCTCGAATATCAGTCCTCGCGTTTTTTTTTCGGGGGGGTCAGGCTGATAACGAGGACCTCCCGGGTGAATACCTACATAGGTTTTGTTGCGAGCTCGACTTCTGCGCCCCCGCTACCTAACCAGGGCCAGCTCTGACGGCAAGGTTTCTACATGCATCGACTTTATCTCGGTTCCCAGGGGGCTTTCGAGGGGGGCCTCTGAGGCGAAGGTTGACCGTGGAGTTGTCTTCGCGAACGCCATGCGCGACCATGCGTGCGCGACGCTCAGGTTCGCGCCCCCCACTGACAAAAACAGCCCCCACACCCCCCTCTTCGAGCGGAGGAAATCGGTCATTGACCCCAGGCGCCTTCACGACCCCGCCGCTCGTGAGACCTTCTTCCCGGAATGTTATTGGACGCCCCCGGACATGCCGCGGCGCGCGTCTTCAACGCTCCAGCGCGCCGCCCTCGACATGCAGCTCGCGCAGTTTGCGGTCAACCACCTGCAACCAAACAAAAAGGATATGGGGGGAGTGGCATCGCCAAGGCACCCTGGGCCAGCTCGATCTCCGAAGGGCCTTTCGAGGCCGCATCAGGTCTCTCCAACGTCGGGCCCAATGGGCCGGCCGCGCCGTGTTCTTTTCCGCTTGGGCCGATGTCAGGCCTCCGTTTCCCGGCGCCCTCCCTTCCCAGGGATGTTCTGATGAAGGAGTTACCCAAGACCCTAACCTGTCGGACAAAGAGAACCAGCCCCCCCGCGGTCTCCAGGGCGATGTCCAGGACCCCCCCCCCCCCCCCTTGTCGCTCACCGAGGGATCTGGGGCCGCCTGCGGATCCGCCCCCACGCTGGTTGCACCCCCCTCGCCAAGAAGCTCCACGGTCTGGGTTGGGATTTCCAGGGCCTAGCCGAAGACATTGATTATGCTGTTTGTGTTTTCAGGGCCATCCCACGGGGTTCAGGTCGACTTGAGGTTCCGGGAGTTTGCGTTCGACAATCTGGTTGTCTCTAGCGCGCTGGGACAAGGGGCCTCCGACCTGAGCATGTCCGATTGCTTGGTCGGCCTGGCTCGACTGGATCGCGTGATCCAATTTATGTCCCGAACTATGGCGCAGCGCACTGCCGGACTTATTGCGCGGGAGTGTGCCAAGGGCAAGGCTGCCCACATCTCGCATGTGACTGCTACGGTTACGCGTGCATTCTCAGCTAAGCAGTCCAGAGATATTTGTTTACTGCCCTTCGCCGCAGTGGGATAGGTTCCGCCAGGAAAAGGAAGTCGTCTCAACCAGGCATTGTTCTTCTGAAAGACGGTGCCGTGGCACAAACGGCCACCGATGCTCGTCATAGGTGGCTCGAGCACTTCTCGGACCGGGAGTTGGGCACCCAAGTTCCCGCCCGGGACATCCCCCCCCTTGCCCAGGAATCCGAGATCCCTAACTACAACATCCAGGACCAGGCTGTTCACGCGATTCTTACCAAGGTCGAGTTCGGGCAAGAGTTGCTGCAGACCTCTCGCCCTCTGCGCGAACGGGCACGACGGGGTCGCGGGGGCTCTTCTGAAGTATCGCCCCCAAGTTGTTGCGAAGGTGTACTGCACGCCGTCGTTAAAGTACTCCTTGGGCCTTCGGGAACCTCTTCAATGGAAAAGCTCTACGCTTCGCGAGATCTACATGGGCAAGGGCCCCCCCGGGAATGCAAGTCTTGTCGCGCCATTGCTGTTGGGCGCCAGATCACCAAAATATCGCATGCCATTGTGAGCGCTAGGCCCCATCCTTGTCTGGAGAAGTACGCCGCTGATTCTCAGCACGGCGGCATTGGACACCGCGGCACGGATCTTGCTTTTCACTTCGCCCGCTCCTTGCAGCAGCTGGCAGATAAGAGATCAACCAGTCTAGAGCTACTGTTCATCGACCTCGAGGCGGCGTTCCACCGAGTTACACGGGGGCGAGTGGTTCGTTTCAACTCCGAAGGCGATGTTTCAGATGAAAGAGCTGCTGCTCAGCTGGTTCAGGCTTCGCCCCCCCCCCCCCCCCCCCCCCCCTGAGGCCACGCGTGATTTGGTGGCGGCCCTGGGGCCCCAAACCACTCTGGAAGAGTTGGAGGTCCCCGAGCATCTGTCTGCTCTCCTGGCCGAAACCCTTACGAACACTTGGGCTACCATCCCTGGGGCTGGCAAGGTCGCCGTCGCCTGCGCCGGATCCAGGCCAGGAAGCGCGCTTGCCTCCCAAGTTTTTCTTTTCATCATATCGATGGGGGCCAACGTCATCTACGAGTTTCCTGTTCCCTCGCGCAAGACCCTGGACATCGGGGTTCCCGACGCCACCACAGTTTCAGACTGCGCGTTTTTCGTTTTTTGCCCCAACCCTCTTTGGTTGTGTATTCGTTTTGGATAGAGCATTGTGGTCTCCACTCCTTCCTTCCTCCTCCTCCCTCCCTCCCTGCCTCTTCCTGTCTTGCCTGCGGGGGGTTGCGATATGTCAAAGCGTCGCCATTTTCGAGGCCTGCTGGGGGGCCCAGCACAGTGAGGGCGACGCGCATATTCAAACTAGACCTCGCCATCCCTGGGGGTGGTGCGATCTGCGAAACTGCCGCCATTTTCGAGGCCTGTTGGGGGGCCCAGCACAGTGGGGGCGAGGCGCAGATTCAAACTAGTCCTCGCCATCCCTTGGGGGGCTGCGATCTGTGAAAGTGTCGCCATTTTCGAGGCCTGCTGGGGGGCTCAGCACAGTGAGGGCGACGCGCATATTCAAATTAGACCTCGCCATCACTGGGGGGCTGCGGCTGCGATCTGTGAAACTGTCGCCACTTTCGAGGCCTGCTGGGGGGCCCAGCACAGTGAGGGCGACGCGCAGATTCAAACTAGACCTCGCCATCCCTGGGGGGCTGCGATTTGTGAAACTGTCGCCATTTTCGAGGCCTGCTGGGGGGCCCAGCACAGTGAGGGCGACGCGCATATTCAAATTAGACCTCGCCATCCCTGGAGGGCTGCGATCTGTGAAACTGCCGCCATTTTCGAGGCCTGCTGGGGGGCCCAGCACAGTGAGGGCGACGCGCATATTCAAACTAGTCCTCGCCATCCCTGGGGGGCTGCGATCTGTGAAACTGTCGCCACTTTCTGTGGAAGGAACCCGTGTAATACCCTCATATATACTCCTTATCCTTACCTCTCCCACACCTGGCCGTTTGGGCTCAGGTACTGAGTTGGAGCGATCGTACCTTGATCGCGTGGGAGGGAAAGATATCCATCTATCCCTCCATCTCTCTACCAACGGACCAGGGGTTCTGTGCCCTTGTACTTCAACCCCATACACAGGTTATCAGCCCTTTAACGCTCACCTTCACCGACTCGACCGCGGTGACCTTGCATGCGAGCCTAATGGAGCCACTTCGGCGCATGCGCCGTAAGGGTTCCATTGGGGCTTCGCGCCCAAGCTCTCCCACGGTGCGACGGCTCGGTGACGAGTTGGAGAGCATTAATGCGGACTGTGTTGGTGTCCCCGGTACCCCCCCCCCCAGCTCCCGAGGACCCGAGGCGCGTCTAGCTGCTGAACTTCGCCGCAGCGCCGCCCGCGGGGGGGCAGGAGAAGGAGTAGGAACAGGAAGGAAGGAGTTTCACACGCCGACCTTCGATCCTCCCTCCCCTTCCCCGTCGGGAGCAATCCCAACCGCGTCAGGCGAAAGCCTTACCGGTCTCGATACTCCAGGGCGCTTTCGCGCTAACCGCCGATGGACCTCAGGTGCTGGGACCCCCAGCCCTGCGACCGTCCCTGTGGCGGAGCACGTAGCTACCTTCGAGGAACTCAGTAGACCAGTGTCGGCACAGCCACAGACGCGGTACCCCAAGGTATCATCGGATGAGACACCACACACACATGGTCCGAGTCGCAGCTCGTCCGCGCGCAACCGCCGTGGAGCCCCAGGCCCATGCGGCGAAAGCAGGTCGAGCCCGCGCACTGCCTCTCAGAGGCCATGCACTCCCCGCGACAGGGGACACAGGGAAGCTGACGCTCCCCACCTCTCCATCTCAGACGACCAGCTGGCGGAGACGTCCGCCGCAGGTGACATAGCTGAGCTCAGAGACCAGGTTGAAACCTTCGTGTCCAGCCAATACTCTGGACTACTACAGAGCGTTCAGACGAACGCCACCGATACTGCAGCCATACGTCGCGATCTTGACGGCGCCTTAGGGATCATCGATTCCAGGATCGCCGAAGATCGACGCATCATAGGAGAACTGCAGTACCATATTGATCGTGAGGTGTCACACTCAGGTGAACGAACGGCGATGGTCGAGAACCTGCGCAACTATCTCGCGCAGATGGAGCAACAACTTGTGATCGTACGCGACACAGGTATTTCTGCGGTCAGGATTTTACATGATGAGATCCACGACCAGCTCCGTAACCGACCAACTCCAACCGAGGCCACAGACCTCGGCGACGTTCAGTCTCAGATCAATGATCTTCGATCTTACCTAGACCACACTACGGCGACGCTTCGTACCGAAGCACACACAAACTCGTCGAACCTGATCGACATGTTGCAACGTACTGAGAGAGTCATCACTCAAAGGCTTGATGCGACCAACGCTGTCGTGCAGCCACTCGCTAACCGGATCTCTGACATAGAGCAGCGTTTTCCTGGTGTACAGGACGCCCTGGCAGAGTTGCGTGTCGGACGAGCCCAGACTGGCCAGCTGGATTCTCCTCCCACGGTTTACGATTTCGCCCGCCTCACTGACAGGTTGCAGGAGGTTGAGAAGGCGGCGGACCACACGCAGTTAGAGCTCTCCCAGGTTATTCATGAAAGAGATACTGAGAAGGTACGTGTTGAGAGTTATCTCGCACGTCTGGAAAGCGAGGTGGAGGCACAAAGCGCCCGTCTCCGAGCATGCGAGCATCGACTTGATCGGTATTCCCAACGGTCTCGGGATACTGATGAGTATACACGCCAAAAGGTGGGTCAAATACAAGAAGACATGACGAGCTGGACCAATCAGCTGATCGACCACACTAACGACACCAACATTCACCTTCGACCTGCAGCCGACCTGCACAGGCCGACGGCAGCGTCCGCCGAAGCACCACAAGCTTCAGCAGGACAACAACGACGTACATCTCCAGGAGCAGCCTCCGCGGCAGCTTCTGCACAGACACGTCATGTGTCTCCTGTGCGCACAGAACCAACCATCGACGGTGCACCGATACCCTCACAACCAGTGTCTGCGGTGTCGGTACATACAACGACGCCTATCAAGGAGTCAGACACCGTCCGAGTACCTGTCTTGCCTAAGATCACGCAGCTGCTGGAGTGGCAGCAAAGAGTGCGAAAGAACTTCGGGGCCGCCTCAGGGCGACCATCCAAAGCATACGCCTTCCTATGCGTGGCAGAACAGCCCGAATGTACATTCGAGGATTTACAAGACAGTGGAGACTTTGAGAGCATCGATTGCAAACTCGCAACCGCTCTGAGCGACATCTTATCCTCAGACTTACGCTACCAAATCAGGCTCATCGAGACCAGAGAGCACAAAGCAGGACGCATGCTCAAAGGACGCCAGATATACTGGCATATCCTACAGTCCTACAAAGTGACAGACGTCGACGACGACCTGCACGATTTCGAGCGCCTTAAAGAACTGAGGATGAGAGACGAAGATTTGCAACGTTTCATTACCGATTGGGACGCCTTACTCTTGGAATGCCGAGAAGTACCCGATCCAAAGATATTGGAATCGCTATTCCGCACACAGATTCGTAGACATGCATGGATGAAACAAGACATGTACGAGTACCAGCGCATGAAGATGAGCGACCCGAATCGTACCTACGGTTGGCTTCGACAGCGTGTTCTGGACATACTGGAGATTAAACAATTGGAGAAGAATCAAAACAAGCTACGGTACGAACACGAAACACGATCTCAGGTCAACCTGTGCGCTGCATGGAAGAAAGGCAATTGTCGCAATGGTGAACGGTGCAAGGCTTTACATACATATTCCAGGGATTGGAAGAACAACAAATCTTCCAGAACATCAACGGCTGGTGGCAACCCCCGCCGTAGTATGTCCACTCCTGCGAATCACAAGAAGCCAGCATCAAGGCCATTCTGCTTCGATTTTGCCAAGCGCAACACATGTACCAGAGGTGATAAGTGT